CCCCGGGGCTGCCGAGGCGGCTGGCGGAGGAGCGCAGTGAGAGTGGGTGAAGGAGGAGCATTTGGAGCAGGTGAGGCGCTTGGAGGAGGGAGGGACGTTGGCGTTGTCGTAAAACTGGAAGCAGCTAGGGCAAAACGACGACGGATGGAGGCGGAGGACGCAGGAGGTGCAGAGGCGGCGGTGGATCCCTCTGATCCGAACATGGTGGAGGATCCACCGCTTCTGGGACCCGCAGTTCCCGAGTGGGTGAAGGAGGAGCATTTGGAGCAGGTGAGGCGCTTGGAGGAGGGAGGGACGTTGGCGTTGTCGTAAAACTGGAAGCAGCTAGGGCAAAACGACGACGGATGGAGGCGGAGGACGCAGGAGGTGCAGAGGCGGCGGTGGATCCCTCTGATCCGAACATGGTGGAGGATCCACCGCTTCTGGGACCCGCAGTTCCCACACTCCGATGCCGACCGGCCGTTGTTGCTCGCCGGAAGCGGATTGGGGCTGGGCTTCGCCAGTGGCTGGTGGTTCATTGCCGTTGGATGAAAATAAAAATACTGAGGCCGGAGAGAGGAATATGGAACCCTAGGGATTTGCCGATTTGAATTTGGGAGATTTCTTAGTCGGTTGCCATTATGGTTTTTTAGGGTAGAGAGAGAAAGAGGAGAGAGAGAGAGAGCAATACATGCAAGTTTACTGCTCCTCTGAGAAAATGTGAGATTTTTTTGGGTGTGATTTCTTCTTCTTCTTCTTGGGAGTTCAGTTGTATTCTGTGATTAGGGTTCATAGGTGAAGGGAGATTTTAGTTGCAGTGAGGAGAAAACGAGAGACCAGATGAGTTTGAGGTTTGATTGTTTGGTGGTGAGTGCTGACCAAGGATGGAGTGCCTTTAACCCAACAAACGGTGTCGTTTCATTGTGAAAATAATTTTCTTTGCTACTGATATTATGAAAATAATTCGTTTTTTTAAATTAGTGAGAGGATTAAGATTGATCAATATACATAATCAACCATTTGGCTACTCAAAGTTCTAATGTTTTGTGCCCAACTAAAATAAAATCCTTCTACAGTATGATTATAGTGTCTATTTTTTACCATGTCAAAATCACATTAAACTCAAAAAAACATGTAAAATAAACAATTTCTAATCAAGATTTAATAATTAAAAATAGAGAATAACCAGTAGCTTAATTTTTTTAAGACCTATTATAAAAATCTCAAAAAGAAAAAAAAAAGAGGAAGCTTATGTCATAAAGTTTAGAATCTAAAATCTATAATGACACTTGATAGAGTGAAAAAGAAGAAAGTTGTAAAAAGAGGACTTTCCTTTATAGATCTATTTATTAATAGTGTCAATTTTTAATTATTAGATCTTGTCAAAATCACATTAAGTTAAAAGAGTATGCATCACAAATAGTTTTTGATATAAATATAACGGTTGAAAAGTAGAGAACTACCAGTAACTCATTTTTACTGGTCCTACTAAAAAAACTCAATAAGTAATAGTAAAAGTTTAGATGTTTTTCTTTTTAAACTGTTCTAATTGACTGGGTTTTAAGTTGTGTTTGAGCGAGTAATTCAAAGACTTGTTTAGAAAGTATACTTAAATCATGATTTAAGTTCATTGTGAAAACCTCGTGAGATAAAAAATTTTGAAATTTAAACTCTTTATAAGCTAAAAAACACTATAGTAAAATTCTGATATAAATTTGAGTATAGCTTCTAAACAACTCATTAAGTGTTAAAGCGTTTAACTAGAGACTGATTATCATTTTAAGACGAGGTAGATCAATAATAAAGTACCATCAACCTTTTCCTTCCCATTCTAATCCAAACATTGGAACCCAAAACACAATGACTCATCTTTATCCACAGATTCTCCCAACGCTAAAGACAAAACTTGATTAATTATTTTTCTTTTTGGTAGATCAAAGACAAAACTAGATGGATACCACTTTTCACCCATAGGATGCCATGTAAACATACAAGAAACTTGCATATGAATCCTCTTTCTAAAGGGCCAACTCACACGTCTTTGAGAGCTCACAATCACAAATCTCCCTTAGATCATCTGTCTAATTTCCGGTATTCCAAACTGTCTAACCAATTACATTTTTACCATATCATATAAAGAACAAGTATCATAAAGTCAGTTAAAGAACATTTCAAATTTTTTAAATGATGTGGCAGATGATATTATTGACTAGACACCAAAATTAAACTGGTAATTTAAGATATCATTTATACCTAATAACGCGGTAAATAGACTTGGCTCATAAATTTCTCCAAACAAGATACACCCATGCTCATTTTCTTTCTGTTTAGTCTTTATGATCAAAGGTGGAGCCTACTTGCGGTATAGATAAACATTTTGATCCTCGGGCCCAGTTTGGATTTTTCTGCCCTTGTGACCCCAAACAAGAAAATGAGCCTTTCGAGTCTTGACGTTGAAAATCACGGGCATCTCCAAACCTCTTTGTATCAACTTTGGAACTCGAAATCATGAATGAGAAACATCCATTATAAGCTGTATTTCACCATTCAGAAGTACCAAGAGATGGGTCATCTTTTACAAAAAAAGTTAAATCAAGAAGTAATGTCCTGTAAATCTGGCTGACAGAGAGTGCAACCTCAAACTAATTTTCTAAGTGAATAGTTTTATCCTAATACATGGGCACTAAATCTAAATCTTCATAATACCAGGTACCCAAGTTGATTGACATTACAACTAGAGAAGGAAAGAAATGCAGAGAAACTAATAATTACATACATTTAAGTTATCTTAAACAAAAATATGGGGTCCTCCAAATCTCTGTCCCTCGTAAAGAGCTTGTTAGATGTACAGATTATGATGCTGTTGGTCCAGTGATGCAATCCTATAAAAAGGTCCAGTAAAAGGATATCAGTTCGCAACTTTTCTATCACAAAAAACAGGGGAAAAAAAAGCAATCGTTTCAATAGCAAATAGAGCATGGAGAGAAGTGGGAAAAATAGAAGGTAATTCCTGAAGTCTAACTCAGCATGGAAAAGGTGGCATATTAACATGTTATCGGTATAGCTTACACTGCCAATCAAATACTAGACGTGCATGAATGAAGCACATGGATATGTAATAAACACTCTGCTTCAGATGAGACGTGTAAATGGTTGACTAACTGGCAATGCAAAAATGGAGATGATCAGCCTTGCCATGTTAAAATGTCGATCTGGAGTCATGCAGGCGAGTCACACTTAGAGACAGTCTTTATGATCAATCATAAAATGACTCGTGTATGCAAGAATATATAGACCAAGCTAAGGACATCAATGTGATGAAAGAAAATGTAGCAAAAAATAGTGCGGATTCAGTGTAGCAAAACATAGTGTGGATTCAGAAACTCAAGTTGCAAAAAAAGAAGTATTAAGTAAGAAAGGATAATACTACTGTCGTAGCGCTCCATACTATTTCCTTGCAGGTGGACTTGTTGTGGCCGAGACCCTTACATCGGCTGCACTGCAGTTGACGTTTAGACATGTCTTGTGATCCTTGTTTCTTTGTTGTGGGCCGTCCTGGAGGACGACGTGTAGGAGGAGGGGTTACGGTTACAGCTAGAGTAGTTTTAGAAGAATCTTGCAGCAAAGGCATCTCCACGTTTGGAACAGGATGGATTGACTCTGAGTATGTTAATCTGTAGCTCTCGGTTGTGTAATATCTTGAGCAATAATCATAGGGGCTTTGAGCTAAACAACTAATGACAGCAGTTGCGTGGCAGCAAGGCAAACCGGTAAGCTGCCACCCCCTGCAACTACAGTCCCAGTGATCAATGTTTACAATTTCAATCGAATCACCACGGACCTCAAATGTGCTACCAGCTGACAGTAACACATGAAGTCCACGGACTTGCTGGTTTTCTTTTTCTAGCTTTTCCTCCATGGATGGAGTGAGCCTTGTCAACCACTGGTTAGATTCTGTCCGCCGTGTATACATCAACTCCATAATCTTACCCCTTATTACGTCAACCATTTGAGTTATTGGCAACTCATGTGCATCAGAAGCCCAACTGTAGAACAACTCCCCAAAATTTGATGACATGTGGTTATATCTGGCACCCTGAAAAAAGGCATTTGCCCAGTTCTGTGGGTCACTTTGTACAATCCAATTGTAAGCCTCCAGTGAAATACCTTTGATGCTCTCAATACTCCTTTGGAAGCTTTCGGGCTTTGGTGCATAAGCAGCAGCATAAAAATCCTCAACCATTAGGCGTTTCACCTCATGAGAAAACTGTCCTTTCAGGTCTTTAAGAAGTTGCTCAGTCAAGTACCGTAGGCAGTAACCATGGAAAGAACCCTTGAATATCTCTGCAATCGATTCCTTTAAACCCCTCTGTCTGTCTGCCACAAATGTCAGTGGACAAGATGTTATTAATGCTAATTTAAGTTGTAATAAAAACCAATGCCAGTTGTCATCAGTCTCTGCATCAACCACAGCGAAAGCAACAGGGAAAACGCCATCGTCCCCATCTGCCGATGTTGCAGCTAATAAAGTGCCTTGGTACTTTGACTTCAAGGGTAAGGCATCGAGGAAAAGCAGAGGCCTGCAACCTTGTTGGAAACCATACAGTGAGGCATGGAATGAGACAAACAGGCGATGGAAACTGGAGTCTTCCTTAGTGGTAAAATTGGCTAGACTACCCGGATTGGTCTCCATTATCCTCTCGCAGAAGGAAGGTAACTGATTATATGCCTCTTTGTATGATCCCTGAAGCTGCTCCTTTGCAATTTCCTTCCCACGCCAGGCTTGAAAGTAGTTCAACTGTATTCCGTATTCTTGCTTGATGTCATTTACGATATCCTTGGGCTTATAATTTGGGAGAACTTTTAACTTCTCCTTAATAATGCTTGCCACCCAACTCCTAGTCGCCTGATGCCCAGTTGTTGCAACAGCTCCTTCACAAGTATGGATCGGGTTCATTTTCTTAATGCATATCAATTGAGTAGTTGACAACCGCGATGCATGAATTCTCCAAGGGCAATCTTCCGCTTTGCACTTGACAGTCACCCGATGACTATCATTCTTCTTATACCTAAATGCAAACTGATGCGCAATGGCATATTTACGCAATGACTCTCGAAATTCATGAACACCACTGAATCTTTGACCCACACCAGTTATAGAATTCTGCCACTGCTGCGCAGATTTAGCATTCTTCTCATTGTTTGGACCAACAAGAGGAAAAATGGGTGCAACCCCAGCTGGCACACCGACCTGAGCATCAACTTGGTTTTTATCATCGGCAACATCGATTGCCATATCGTGTTGGGCAGTATCACCCACAACATCATTCACGACATCAGGGGCGGCATCAATTGGAACCACAGTTTCCGACAAAGTCGTCCTGCTCGACCTACAAAACCCAGAAAATTCAAACAACAGAAGCAAACAAAACCAAACCAGCACAAAAAAATCACCATATCAGAAACTAAGAAAACTACCTACTGGCGGGCATGTTCGAGACATCCGGCGCGACAACCTCTTCCATTATGACATAAACATCTGCCGTGGCAGAATTCCCATGGAACTTTATCATGCGGTTTAAATCCTTGTCGTTTGAAATCGTAATGAGGGTCTTCTTGTTTCCGGGAAGAAAGTATTTAATAGACATCGAATTGATGCTATAATTGAACATCTCCGCAACTTCCGTCTTAAAGTCATTAAACTTAATCTGATCATCAATGTCTATGGCATGAGCATCACCTCCCTTGTAAGACAATGTACCATCTTTACCATTCACAAATTCACCCCCAGATTGACATATAACTATGATTTTTTCCCCCGCCATGACCTGCCTCAAATTCCGACGAAATTCTTCATAATTCAATACGAAACTGATCAAACCAGTCAGATTTTTTTTTTGTTCTTGCCCTCTTTCTATCTAACTGATCATAATCTAAACCACAGAGAAATAACTTATTATTCGAATAAAAAGAAGTTTACAATTCTGTTCCCTGTTAAAGATTGCCTAAAGCGATAAAATAGAGCAATAAAACCCGAAATGTACTAAAAATAAGAAGGGGATTTATAAAACCCTAGAAGAGATATAATTAGAAGAAGACAATTGAAAAAAAAAAAAAAGAGGGGATTTTTTTTTTGAAAGGAAAACGAGGGGATTTTTTACCTTTCGAAAAACACAAATGAGGAAGTGAATTTGAAGGAACGATGTTAGAATCCTCAATCTGGATTTGGAGTTTGGATTTCGCCTCTCAATTAGAAACAAGACTACCCACTTCTTACGGCTATGATTCCAAATAGAGTCTTCCGTACAGAGGGTACGGACACAGAGTGTAGATAGAGAGAGAGAGGAATTGTGCGCAATTTGATTATTTATTTTTCAACTAAATAATTGGCGTGTATATTAGATATATATGGAAAAGGGTGAACTTTTTCTCTACTGGTAAGGTGAATATTGACTACTGTTGAATTGTTATTTATGATTCAAATTAAAAAGATGCACCAAACAACTATTAGTTTACACAAAAAAAATCTATTCTTGAATTCAAGTTCCGCGATAATATCCAAACTTAAAGTTGGGCCTAAAAAATGATACAACAGTTTGTGCAAAAATTCCTTTTGTTTTCGATTCAAACCAACAAATAAATAAGGCTCCCGTTTATTTTACTATTATGAGCACAGTTTAAACTCATTTTTAATAAGTATGCAGTTTAAATTATATTTTATATTAAAATTAAGTTAAATTATTAAACTTTAGAGTTTAACTCATTTTAAATTTAACCGTTTAAACCCTTTATGACAAATAAAAAGGGACTCACTCTGTGCTTTTTGCACCTTTTAAACACAAATTCAAATTTTATTTAATGTTCAAATTAAATTTTTAACTGCATGTTCAAACTTTACTTTAAATTATAATTTAAATCACACAGTTTAAATTTTTTTATTCAAATAAAAAAATTTAAAATTTAAAATAATAAAATTCAAACCAGGCAATTCACCCCAAAATAACTTTCATTTTGTTCGGCCACTGAAAAGTATGTTACTAACGTGAAATTTAGTTTAATCTGTAAACTTAAACTATGCTAAATAATACCTCAAAAAAAAAAAAAAAAAAAAAACGTTAACAATTATACGCAAAAATATGAATCCAAAAAATTTAGAGCTTATTCATTTGAGTTAGAGTGACTTGAGTTTAAATCTTGATTTGAGTTAAGATGTATTTAAATATGGTTTGAGTTAAGACTCTAGTTTGAGTTTGTGTTTGGATGTGCACATTTTGAGTTATGGTTTGAATTGAGAATCTATTTGAGTTTGCATTTAGGTGAGTCAAAACTTGAATTTATATTTAGATAATAATTTAATAAAAACTCAATGGTGATGAAAAATTTTAATAGGGTATATGAGTGGAGTTTTATTCGTCTATTCATTGTTAATACATAGAAAAAAAATCATCTCAATCGAAATTAGAATGAAAAAATTATGACATTTTTAATAATAGAAAAAAGAATGTTCATTAAGTTTGAGTTTAAAAATTTGAGTTAAAATAAAAAATTTAAACTCAAATTTTAATCTCAAACTCAAATTAAAACTTAACTTTTATAAAAAAATATACATTTAAATAAAATTATAATTTAAATTTAAACTTTTTTTTGAGTTAAACTCTAAAACGATCGTTTTATTTTTTTTCAAACACAAAGGATTATTATTGTTCTAAATCCCACCACCACCGCCACTCAGAGGAAAAAAAAAAAAGAAAATCCCATAACCACTTTTGCTTTTTCTCTCCCCAACTCCAGTATTATTATTATTTTTTTCCGAATACTTCCACGCTTTCTCTGCCAAAACATCATAAACCCTAGAAATGCTTCCTGGTTTCCGTTTTAGTTTTCAGATCTGAACCGTTTTCTAGGTAACAATTTTCCCCTTCTTTTCTCCCTCTCCGTCGCGTTTGAATTTCGCATTCACATTTTGCCGTTTCTGCTTCAGGAAGTTCCGTTCAAGCTCGAATTTTCGGTCGAACGAACCTGCATTTTGCGGTAGATCCGAATCTGAGTATGATCTTTCTGGTTGAGGAATTCGTGTTAAAGTTGTGAAAAACTTCGGATTGGTGAGTTGCTGTGAATTTTTCTATTTTTTTTGGGTTTTTCTCGGAAAGAAATGGTTATGATTTTGTCAAATGTTGTTGGAAATTGGTGATAAATTGAAGGAAATCAGTTGCATTGAGTTACTTGAGCAGAATCTATTATGGTCGAGTTTCTTTTTTTTTTTTTTTTTCCTTTCTAGAGAACCAAACAGTAGCAAGTTGGAATTTTTGGTTAACGTTTTTGTTCTGTTTTTGTGAAGCTCATTTGTGGGTGAACTTAAATGGAAGATCCAGTAGTACAACCTGGGGAAGACCCAAAGGTAAAACCCCAAGTTCCGCAGAAGCAAGTCCCAGCCGATTCATCGGAAATTGAGAAAAAAGGTGCGAAAGCTGCGAAATCCTCGGGTGCCGCTTCAAAGGTGTCGGCACCGACAAGTTCCGTTAGGAAGAAAGTGGAGCCAAAAGCTAGTCTGGATTCTTCTTCGAGTTCGAAGAAATTAACTCTTACTGGCTCCTCGCCGAGTTCCAATTCGGCTCCGAGGGTGAGGCGAAACAGCACCGGCGGATTGGCCGAGAAGGCGACTGTTGCCTCTGCCGCGAAGCAGAACAATGCAGATGCTGTCTCTGGGAAGAAGAGCGCGGAGCCTGTGAGGCGGTCTCTCCACGAACTTAGGAGTTCTTTGCCTTCAGTGGCTACGAAGCCTTCGAACAGAACGAGTGCTTCGGAAACTAGAAAGTCAACTCCGGCGACGCCATTGGATCGCAGTTTGAGAAGGTCGATCGATTCTGATGTGACTAATCACACTTCTGCTAGTAGGTCGTCAGCCAAGCCATCACTATCAGTTTCTTCTGCCTCTTCTGCTTCTTCTTCAAGAAGGGTACCTTCAACTTCGGTAGATAGTACCGGGAGCAGTACAATTTGGAAGACGGTTTCAAAGCTGTCTTCTCCGTCTTCTCGATCACCTACGTTCACTAGTGGATTGAGATCTGCGTCTCTATCATCGTCTTTGGATCGAGGTTCTAATTTATCTGGACGCAGGAAAGCAGCGGCTACTCCTGAAATCAGGGATTCGAAGTTCATTGTTCTTCCCCAGGTGGAGATAAAAGCTGGTGATGACGTGGTAAGTGCCTTGTTCTTTCGATTTTCAAACCTTAAAAATGTTAGTGATCACAATAGCTTTGTTCTCTGGGTTTGTCATTTTTAGCTTTTCTGAGAAATGTTTCTGGAATTTGTTGAAGAGTAGCTCTCGGTGCATTGTATCATCCCCTTTGACAACTGGTTTTATGTATAATTTCTAGATGCAATTCCAAATGCCTTTGCCTGACTATCTGCATTGTTCTTCTCCTATAATTTCCTCTCCAATTCAACATGCAACGAACTGGCGACTTAGGGTTGTTATTTTACATTTTTGAGGTAGGGTTGACTTGAGTGATGTTCTTAAGTTGAGTTTTGAGTTATAACTTGAGTTAAAATTGTAACTTGAGTTTATGTGTGGACGTGTATATTTAAGTTATGATTTGAATTGAAAATCTTTTTAAGTTTATGTTTAGGTGAGTCAAAACTTAAATTTGTATTTAAATAGTATTTTAATAAAAACTCAATAGTGATGAAAAATTTTAATAGAGTATATAGGTAGGATTTTATTTATCTTTTCGTTTTGAATGCATAAAAAAAATCATCTCAATCAGAATTAAAAGGAAAAATTTATGACATTTTTAAGAATATAAAAAAATAATGTTCATTAACTTGAGTTCGAGTTTATAAACTCGAGTTGAAGGGGAAACTTAGGGTGTGTTCGGCTGTCCAAAAAAGTCAAAAAAAGATAATTCGAGTTCCAACTTTATTTAAGTTCATGTTCTTTTAAGTTTGAACTTGAGTTTAAACTCGAGTTTGAGACTAAAACTCGAGTTCAAGTGTCCCCTTCAACTCGAGTTTAGAAACTCGAACTCAAATTAATGAACAATATTTTTCTATTCTTAAAAATGTTATAACTTTTTCGTTTTAATCCTGATTGAGATGATTTTTTTTCTATGCGTTGACAACGAAAAGACGAATAAAATTTCACCCATATACCCTATTACAATTTTTCATCACCAAATATAAATTTAAGTTTTGACTCACTCAAACACAAACTCAAAAAAAGATTCTTATCTCAAACCATAACTCAAATGTACACAACCAAATACAAACTCAAGTTATAACTTCAACTTAAGTTATAACTCAAATTCAACTCAAAAATTACACTCAAGTCACACTCTAAAAGAACAGGCTCCTAAACTAGCGTTTAGTCCTAAACTCGAGTTCAAATTCAAATTTAAACTCGAGTTTAAACTCAAATTTTATAAAAGAACATGAATTTAAATAAAATTATAATTCGAGTTTAAACTTTTTTTAAAATTTTATTGTAAAAGAACAACCCCTTAATTTCTTCTGTATTCATCATCGCCATCAGTGTCTACCTTTTTGCTAGATTAGTTCTTGTTTCTAAATATACTTTATTATATATTCTATCGAATTCATATTTTTAAGCTGTCCCGTGGTAAACCGGAAACCGGTTGTCATTGATACTTTTTTCTTGGTTTCTTCTTCTCCTTCTTCTGTAACACATGCAGAAATGCTGTGAAAGTTTTTATGCTTCTGATCCCATGTGTGAATCTGCTTTGGTTGTAAATACTAAATAATATTTGAAGAAAATACAATTATAGCATGGGAATTGTGTCTCCAGTCTTTTCTTGTCACTGCTTATCTAACTTATTCTTTCAGAGGCTGGATCTTAGAGGTCACAGGGTCCGCAGTCTCACTGCTAGTGGGTTGAACTTGTCTTCAAATTTGGAGGTAAATTTGTCATGCACACTGGTAACTGTAAACTGAAGAGAGTTTTTGCTATTGGTTTCTGTGTAAAATTTCTTTCACCCAGTTTGTTGCCTCCTTCACTAATATGAATGGCTTTATCAAGCGTAGTTGGGATTTTAAAAGAGACTTTTGTTTATGTTAAATTAACACCTTATGATTATGTATTAGACAAAGTACGGAAAAGAAAAGAAGTATTCGGCAACTTTCTCTTCTTTAGACATCTTATGAATGTGAAAACCTGATAAGTATTTTATATAACACTGCTTATCATAAGGAGTGCTCTTTGAATTTCATTTCCTCATCTCGAAATTGTTAAATTGTCACAAGCTATGTGGCTTTTATATTGAAGAGAGATGCAGGTTTGGTATGCTTGGTTCTTTCAGGATTTATTGGTTCTTGAAGCTTAAGCCGTTACAATGTATATCAAAGTGCAATGGCATGTAGATTTTATTAAAATACCCAATTTATGGAAACTATAAGAAAGATTGAGCTTCTAGATTGTGGTCCAACTGTGGTTTTTATTTTCCAAGGAACTTTTCATACAAGATGGCTACTTATGATGTTACGATGATAGATGAAAATTGGTGTATTACTTGAAAAGGTTTTTTCCATTCGTCTTATGGAGAAAAACATGTTTAGAAAAATGTAACGATTGTGTTTGTAAAATTTTAAAATTTGTTGACGTCGTTTTTATTCATATTTTATTTTTCAAAGGCGAAAAATAGATAAAATCATAAAGAAAAAAAGAATATTCATAAAAAAATAGTGCTGCTTATTGCATTAATTCTGAAAAATCGTTTATTAATTTTAGGATGCAAAACATAAATAAAAATGTGAATTTTTGATCTCTCTGCGTGTCGAGAGTTTTTTGACATCGTTTTTTCTTCCTTTTTTTTAGGTGATTTTTTTTTTGTAGGCATGCTCAGAAAAATTTAAGGACCGTGTATGTAAATTTTCAGAATTTGTTGATGTCGTTTTTATTTGATTTTATTTTTTAAATGTTGAAAATAGAGAAAATCATAAAAAAAATGGATTATTCATCGAAAAATTGTTTTGCTTGTTGCATTAATTCTTAAAAATTGTGTATTAATTTTGGGATGCAAAACATAATTTTTGACCCCCTCGGCCACATGGTACCCCATTGCTCGGTCAGGAAACTTTTTGACATCGTTCTTTTTACATTTTTTGAGGGTAATTTCTTTTTTTGCATGCATGCTTAAAAAAATGTAGGATCGTGTTTGTAAAATTTCAGAATTGTTTGACGGCGACCCGGGGGCGTTTCGGGGGTGTCATGGGGGTGTCCCTGGGGTGTCATGGGGGTGTCCCGGGGGTGTTCTAGGGCTAACCTGGCTGGGCCCCCGGGGTCCCCCGTGGGTGCCCCGGGGGTGTCTTGGGGGTGTCTCGGGGGTTTCTTGGGGCTGCCCTGGGGGTGTCCCGGGGTTGCCCCGGGGCTGACCCGGCTGTGCCCCCGGGGTACCCTGTAGGTGCCCTGGGGGTGTCCTGGCGGTCCCCCAGGGGTGTCCCGGGGGTGTCCCAGGGGTGCCCTGGGGGTGTCCCAGAGGTGTCCCGCGGGTGTCCCGGCGGTCTCCCAGGGGTCTGCCGGGGGTCTTCGCGGTTTTCCCGGGGTGTCTCGGGGGCTTCCCGAGGGTCTCCCTGGGGTGGCCCAGGGGTTTCCTGGGGGTGTCTCGGGGGTCGTCTCCCGGGGGGTGCCCCGGCGGTGGCCCGGGGGTGCCCCGGGGCTGACCCGACGGTGCCCCTGGGGGACCCTGTGTGTGCCCCGGTGGTGTCCCGGGGGTCCCCCGGTGGGCTCCGTGCCCCTGGGGTACCCTGTGTGTGCCCCGGTGGTGTCCCGGGGGTCCCCCGGTGGTCTCCCGGGAGTGTCCTTGCCTAGAAAAATGTAAGGATCGCGCCTGCAAAATTTCATTATTTTTTGAAGTCGTTTTTATTTTATTATATTTTTTTAAGGCGAAAAATAAAGGAAATCGTAAAAAATAGAATATTTATCAAAAAATATTGTTGCTTGTTGCATTAATTCTTAAAAGTCATATTAATATGAAAAAGTAAAACATAGATAAAAATGTAAATTTTTAACCCATCCCGGCCCCTGAGCAGGCCCCTGAGCGCCCAACTACGCGGGCCGTCAACTTTTTGATAGTGTTTTACTCTTTTTTTGTCATTTTTTGAGGCCATCTTTTTCTGGTCTGCAAAATTTCATTATTTTTTGACATCGTTTTTATTTTATTATATTGTTGAAAGATAAAAAATAAGGAAAATCATAAAAAATAGAATATTCATAAAAAATAGTGCCGCTTCTTGCATTAATGCTTAAAAATGATATATTAATTTTAGAATGCCAAAAATAAATAAAAGGTAAATTTTTTACCCATCCCGGCCCTTAAGTTGGCCCTTGGGCGCCCCACTACGCGGGTCGGGGTCTTTTTGACAACGTTTTACTTTTTTGTCATTTTTTGAGGCCATTTTGTTCTCGCATGCCTAGAAAAATGTAAGAATCCTGCATGCAAAATTTCATTACTTTTTGACGTCATTTTTATTTTATTATATTTTTTAAAGACGAAAAATCAAGAAAAGCATAAAATATAGAATATTCATCAAAAAATGGTGTCGCTTATTGCATTAATTCTTAAAAATCATATATTAATTTTAGAATGTAAAATATAAATAAAAATGTAAATTTTTGACCCATCACGGTCCCTGAGTTGGTCCCTGGGCGCCTCATTACGCGGGCCGGTGGCTTTTGACAGCGTTTTACTTTTTTTTGTCATTTTTTCTGGCCATTTTCTTTCTAACATGCCTAGAAAAATCTAAGGACCATGTCTGCAAAATTTCATTATTTTTTGACGTATTTTTTATTTTATTATAATTTTTAAAGACGAAAAATAAAGAAAATCATAAAAAATAGAATAGTCATAAAAAAATGGTGCCGCTTGATGTATTAATTCTTAAAAATAATATATTAATTTTGGAATGCAAAAAAAAAATGAAAAAGTAAATTTTTGACCCATCCCGGCCCCTAAGGTAGTCCCTGGGCGGCCCATTATGCGGGCCGGGGGCTTTTTGACAGCGTTTTACTTTTTTTTCTCATCTTTTAGGCCTTTTTTTAGCATGCCTAGAAAATTGTAAGGACCGTGCTTGTAAAATTTCAATATTTTTTTACGTTGTCTTTATTTTATTATATTTTTAAAGAGGAAAAGTAAAGAAAATCATAAAAAATAGAATATTCATGAAAAAATGTTGCGGGTAGCTGCATTAATTTATAAAAATCATATATTTATTTTTGAATGCAAAACATATATAAAAATGTAACTTTTTGACCCATCCTGATCCCTGAGCTGGCCCCTGGGTGCCCTACTACACGGGCCGAAGGCTTTTTGACAGCGTTTTACTTCTTTTTTTTTTTTCATTTTTTTGAGGCCTTCTTTTTTGGCATGTCTAGACAAATGTAAGGATCATGTCTATAAAATTTCATTATTTTTTGACATTGTTTTTATTTTATTATATTTTTTAAAGACGAGAAATTGAGAAAATCATAAAAAAATAGAATATTAATGAAAAAATGGTGTTGCTTGTTGCATTAATTCATAAAAATCATATATTAATTTTAGAATGTAAAACAAAAATAAAAATTTAAATTTTTGACTCATTCCGGCCCCTGAGTTGGCCCCTCGGCGCCCCACTACGCGGGCTAGGGGCTTTTTGACAGCGGTTTACCTTTTTTTGTCATTTATTAGGGCATATTTTTTCTGGCAAGCCTAGAAAAATGTAAGGATCGTGTTTGTAAAATTTTCATTATTTTTGGACATCGTTTTTATTTTATTATATTTTTTAAAGATGGAAAATAAGGAAAATCATAAAAAATAGAATATTCATCAAAAAATGGTGTCGCTTGTTGTATTAATTGCTAAAAATTATATATTAATTTTTTAATGCAAAACATAAATAAAAATGTAAATTTTTTATCCATCCAGGCCCCTGAGCTGCCCCTGGGCGCCCCACAACGCGAGTCAAGGGCTTTTTGACAACATTTTACTTTTTTGTCATTTTTTTTCTGTCATGCCTAGGAAAATGTAAGAATATTGCATGCAAAATTTCATTATTTTTTGAAGTCGTCTTTGTTTTATTATATTTTTTAAAGACAAAAAAGAAAGAAAAGCATAAAAAATAGAATATCCATCAAAAAATGGTGCCGCTTATTGCATTAATTCCTAAAAATCATATATTAATTTTAGAATGCAAAATATAAATAAAAAGGTAAATTTTTGACCAATCTCGGCCCATGAGCTGGCCCCTGGGCGCCCCACTACGCGGGTCTTGGGCTTTTTGATAGCGTTTTACTTTTTTGTCATTTTTTCAAGCCATTTTTTTCTGGCATGCCTAGAAAAATGTGTGGAGTCTGCAAAATTTTATTATATTGTATTTTTAAAGACAAAAAAAATAAAGAAAATAATAAAAAATAGAATATTTATCAAAAAAATTGTGCTGCTTGGTGCATTAATTCCTAAAAATCATATGTTAATTTTAGAATGCAAAACATAAATAAAAATATAAATTTTGACCTATCTCGGCTCTTGAGCTGGCCCCTGGGCGCCCTACAACGCTGGCCGGGGGCTTTTTCATAGCATTTTACTTTTTGGGGCCTTTTTTTGGCATGCCTAGAAAAATGTAAGGACCGTGCATATAAAATTTCATTATTTTTTGACGTCGTTTTTATTCTATTATATTTTTTAAAGACGAAAAATCAAGAAAAGCATAAAAAATAGAATATTAATCAAAAAATGGTGCCGCTTCTTGCATTAATTCCTAAAAATCATATATTAATTTTCGAATGCAAAATATAAAAAAAATGTAAATTTTTCATCCATCCTGGCCCTTGAGCTGGCCCCTGGGCGCCCCACAATGCGGGCCGGGATTTTTTGACAGCGTTTTACTTTTTTTGTCCTTTTTTCAATCCATTTTTTTTCTGGCAAGCCTAGAAAAATGTAAGGAATGTGTCTGCAAAATTCCATTATTTTTTATAAGGTTTTTATTTTATTATATTGTTTAACGACAAAAATAAAGAAAATGATAAAAAATAAAACATTCATCAAAAAATTGCGCTGCTTGTTGCATTAATTTCTAGAAATCATATATTAATTTTAGAATCCAAAACAAAAATAAAAATATAAAATTTTGACCCATCCCGGCACTTGAGCTCGCCCCTGGGCGCCCCACTACGCAGCCCGGGGGCTTTTTGAACGCGTTCTTTTTTTCCCT